ACTTAAGATATCACTTAAACGGTTAAGACAATTTAACACAATTACCAAAATGTATATAATTATGGTTTCATGCTACCTTCTAAAGATTGGTCAGAAATCACTTCAAAACAATCACTACTAAACAGAACAAAATAAAAAAACAAATCTGCATATAGTTTTAAACATGAATCTTACAGACAGCATATTACATTAGCTTGGTAATATAAAACAACAATAACAAGCATACAAAACATAAGTGTTACTGTTTATATATGAAGATATATGGCCACCTTTATAGGGCTTGTGCAAATCGCAGCGGCGCTGCTACTGTTCCTGGTAGCCTTCACAGACTTTGTGTATGTATGAAAGGAATAAAGGTTAATGCTTACACATGTATATATGCATATATTTAACTCGAGGTAGGGCTGTTTGTACTGTGAAAAGGCACGTTGTGTGTACGTTCGTTTCTCTGAATCACACGTATGCACATTTAGGAAATTATCTCAAATATGCGGTCTCTGTGCAATGTTTTATAATTGAGACCCGAGGCATCTCAGAAAAATGATTTCCTACAGTAAAGAAGAAAGTATGGTCAAAGTATTTAGTGCATATTGATATTAATACATCTAACTTGTACTGTAGTGTACAGTACATCAAGAAATAAACGATATTTTGTTACAACGAATGCCATCAATTCTTGTGTAATTCAAGGCCAAAAGATTCCTACAGAATTAATTGAACTGTTATGTATCATTTATCAGGAATCCCACTGATATTTGTCATTTTTTGTTACAAAAATTATATTTCATTCATTCTACCATGTTTATCGTGTTTGTTCTTTTCATAACACATGAGTGAAATGCATGCAAAATAATCTGCCAAAACACAGCGCAAAGCCTCAAGGATCATTACGGACCATTATGATTAACAAATTTCTGATAGCTTATTTGTGAACGTGTTGTACGGCTTCCGTCATCAGATGATGCACTTGAACAAGTCAAGAGTAACAGTAACTTCCCTTACGAAAATTAATCATGGTTTTATCATACTAAAAGTGTAGTAACCATGTTTTTTTTGGCATATTGATTGCCATTTCCAGTTTACTACAAATACTGGTTAAACTATTATTGTAGAAAAACCATATAGGCCTAGTTAATTTGTGATTACCATGGTTTATAGTAACCATGGGTTTATTTTGTTTTATTTGTAGTAAAACCATGTTTAATTTTCGTAAGGGTTTGTTATTTAATTAAAAGTAAATAATAACAGTAAATAATTCATTTGTCAATGTAGTTTTTACAGTAAAAACATTACATGGCAGCTGAGCATATAAATGAGTATAAATACTCCTGAGATATATATATATATAAACAATGTAGTTTTCACAGTACAAACATTACCTCGATTTATGTAACTCTGTAGGAAGTTACATTGCGCTTGCTCTCTCTCTCTCTCTCTCTGTATTTTAGGAGTGGGTCCCCTGGTAAGGGGCTAATCCTATTTGGGGGTCCAGAAGAGTTTGAAAAACCCCTTATATAACAACTTAAAACTAGATTATATGAATTGATACTTACTATAAGCAATTGGCACTAAATAAACTACATCGTTTACGTAAAACAAATGCAACACCCTGGGTTGAAAAAGATTTTATGTGACTCTAATGTCGAACGACACACAAAACCTAGGCTTAAATACGTCACACAACACTATATAATATAAATTTGATGACTGCACACTTTTATTGTCATTAAAATAATGTAGGAAAAGTAGCCTACATGGGTGGCGTATTTGAAACACTGCAATGCCAATAGGAAGCTCTGACCAGAGTTCACAAAACACCTCCCGCGCGACATGGCTAGCCCATCAGGTTTATCCAAAACAGAAACAAAAGCTTAATTTCGCTCGTACGATTATCAAGCCATCCTTCGTTTACTGTTCTAAGACGGATAGCGTGTTGTTTAGAGCCGCGATGTCTTTACCCGCCTTCGCGCCACAGAGGAGAGCTCCGCTGCCATGATAGCAGAGAAGCTGCAACACAAACAGCAACGCAACACTGCACGACACTCTGTATCCAACAGAACAGCTGATACAACCTGCTCATGAGTCTCAACGAACCCCTCTAAAATGCACAAGCAAAAACACAGCATCCCAGGCACCGTTTTCATAAATAAGGGAGGAGGATGATGATATACAGGCCTGCGGCAAAGCGCTTGTTTCGCTCTTAGACAAAAACTCTTTTACTTTCCAGTGAATATGAACTACTGTAAGACTATGCCAAAGCTGGTGCCCCCCTTTAGATGAAATAAAGATGTGTATATCTATATAACTGTACCCCATTAAGGCCCACATTATGTGGTGGCTACAACAATACTGATGAGTACAACTGTGCGCAAAAAAAAAAATATAATCTGAACTTCAGGGAATGACTGTAAACCATTATTTGGTTTTTATAATATATTGTTCGCAGCGGGATTATTTCACCCGCTTCACATGTGGAGACCCGCCATGCGAAATGTAAAAGACCTAGCTAGTCCCGACTATTGTTTCACTCATCCCATTCCTTTTCTAACTCTAAACCAGTGCATTGCAGTGTCTGTGTGACATATAGGAAGCTCTTACCGCTGCTGTGTTGAATGGGGGATAGATTTAGAGCGCGCGTTCTCGCTCTTCCTCTCGCTAAGCATTGAGTGCTCGTGCGATCCGCCTCTCACCATTGCGAGGCGTTCAAGTGACGTCGCTCACTGCAAAAAGCATGTTTGTCCGACATTGACGCATACGCACACGCCCCTTACGTACTGTGCTCACTGTCAAGATAGCTTGAGGAATAGGCCTAGACGAGCAAATATACAGATGAGTTGCATAATGAATGCACATTTTATAAAATGTAAATATTTATGATATTTTTTTCACACACACACACACAC